CCCCCTTACTCTCTTGTGGTTCTCTTGTTATATCCTGGTAGCTCCTCCCATCGTACCGCCCAGTCTCATTTGATTAACAGGAAAAACCTGTGATTCTCAGAAAGTGAAACAGCAAAGCGAACTTAACTGATGGCACGTGTTGCGCAACACTGCGCATGCTCTGGACAATTGGTGCAAAATGCTCAGGACACAGGTTGTTAGTCAGGCACAGATGAAGGTCTGTAGTTGACTGCTCCACCGTGCTCTGCCAGCCCTCAGAAGTCTTATAGAAGGTGCTCCTCCAGATTAAAGCAGCTCTAGAATCCCTAAATCAAGATAAGTGGGAAACCATACCAATAAATACATTGTGGATTTAAAAAATAAATATTTAGGTATAATTCTAATGAAATGCACAAAATTTCTATGCTGTAAAACTGCAAAACACTAATAAAGGAATCAAAGAATATCTAAATAAATGAAGTTACACAGTGTTCATGGATTAGACAACTCAGTTTAGGAGAGAAGCCAGTTCTCCTAAGTTAATAAACAGGTTCAACTCAATTCTTAACAAAAATCCCAGCAAAATTTCTTTTAGTTATAGACAGGATTATTTTTAGGTTTATATGGATAGGCAAGGAAATAGAACCAGTGAAAAGAATTTTTTTGAAAATGCACTAAAATTTAATCATCCATAAAAGCTATAATTTAATTTGACAGTAAAACACAAGAAGCAATATTAGAGTTGGTTTAGTATATATATATTTTAGCTTTGAAAACCATAGAAATCAGTGGCGGCGGCGTCCGGCCGGAGCGCCGAGGGCGGCGGGGCAGGTGGGGCGCCTCCCGGAGGCGGAGAAGGCACCGGGCTGCGGGCGCCGCGCCGCGCTCCCCGCGCCCGCCCTGCACCCCGCGGCGCGCGTCCGGCCGGCGGGTGGCGGGCGCGCCGGGACCCCGCGATGCTGCCGCGGCCGCCGGGGTGTAGCGCCCGAGCCTGCTGCGGGAGGCGGCTGAACAAGCTCAGGCTCAATTGTGCTTCCTGCCTGTCAGCCTCTTGCTCCCAACGCCTACCATTTCCACTTGATGTCATCACGCAGAAGGGGGTGAAAGGGACTCGGTGACAGATTCAGAAACTGATTGCTAGATGCCTGTGAGCCCCTGACAACCTCAAGGCTTTGGAAAGAAGGAAGGCCTGGAAGCAGGGCTCCTGAGAACAAGCTCCTCCCCGGTGGCCTTGGCATTTCAACTCTTGGTCCAGGATGGAGACCCTCTCCCAAGATTCTTTGCTGGAATGTCAGATCTGTTTCAATTATTACAGCCCGCGGCGAAGGCCCAAGTTGCTGGATTGCAAACACACCTGCTGCTCGGTGTGCCTGCAGCAGATGAGGACGAGCCAGAAGGATGTGCGGTGCCCCTGGTGCCGGGGCATCACCAAGCTGCCCCAGGCTTCTCCGTGTCGCAGCTCCCCGATGACCCCGAGGTCCTGTCTGTCATCGCCATCCCTCACGCCTCCGAACACACCCCCGTCTTCATCAAACTTCCCAGCAATGGGTGCTACATGCTGCCCCTGCCCATCTCCAAGGAACGAGCGCTGCTGCCTGGAGACATGGGTTGCCGCCTGCTGCCTGGGAGCCAGCAGAAGTCTGTCACCGTGGTGACCATTCCCGCCGAACAGCAGCCTCTGCAAGGTGGGGCTCCCTCAGAGGTGGCAGAGGAGGAGCCAGACAGGCGGGGCGTGGTGAAAAGCTCCACCTGGTCCGGGGTGTGCACTGTGATCCTGGTGGCCTGTGTCCTGGTCTTCCTTCTGGGCATCGTGCTGCACAACATGTCCTGCATTTCTAAGCGCTTCACTGTGATATCCTGTGGCTGAAGGCACTGCAGGGAAGTCTCTTGTGGGTACCAACTAGGGGTTGAGCAGGTGTTGGTGATGGGATCACAGTGAGAAATGGGGGTGGGGGGGGAGAGAGATCATTTGGTGCCAGGCACTGCCTCTGGGCTGTCACTGATTAACCTGAAGACAGACACGGAGGGCAGAATGGAAAGTCTCAACACGACACCAGGCAGATCACTCTGAGTGTTGATGGCAACGGCTTCGAAGATGATTGCATGCATCCTCATAATCATTTATTAAATGGACTGTAATTTATGATTTTTCAAAGTCACGTTATGAGATAGACATATTCTACTTAGATGTTAAACTGTGCAAGTACATACAATGTGATCTCTCAATGTGGTAGATTAAAAAAAAGATGCTATGTATACAAGTAGAATTAAACCTGAGAATCCATGTACAAATTCAGCAAAGAAAAAAAAAAAAAAAAAAAAAAAAAAAAAAAAAAAAAAACCATAGAAATCAGTTACCCCAGGTTTTTTCCTATAAAAGACCCATTTTTTTCCAAAGCATTATGCACAAACAATTTAAATAGAATATCATGACAGAATGATATTTCATAATTTTTTAAATATAAAATGAACTCAATGACTCAAAAAAGTTATCTGCTGCAGTGAGTTTGAGGGGAAATTTCATAATCTATATCGTTATAGATATAAAGTGTAATGTTTCAACTTTTAGTGCTTTACAGGGAGGAATCATGATAAAAAGGTCAATATGAAATCATTTGATTATGGTAGCAATATCTAACATTTGAAATGCATCCATGCTCTTTTGTATAATCATATTAGAGTCAAGTATATTTATTTTCACATCTTTTATAACTGCTATTGCAAAGGAGAAATACTATTGTCTTATTTTCCAAGAGATATACACCGACCAAACAGTTTCTTCTTCAGGAAACTTGTGCAAACCAATATAAGATCTAAATTCTTCACATAATATATAAAATAGGAGAAGCCTCTTCAGATTTATGTTTGAAGTCTGGAATGCTGGCATTTTCCAATTAGGCATCAGTTCTTCATTCCTTTAATCTGGCTCAGAGCTGCTGCTTACTTTGGGTCTAGAGCGGCAGACACGATTTCTTTTAGGCTTCTTCTTTTCCACTGGTGTTTTTCTATTTATCTGTCTGACCAGGTCATAAAATATCTCATTAACGTTGATCTTTGACTTTGCAGAAGATTCTAAAAAGGCACAGTTACACCACTGTCTTGCTAAATTCTGACCCTGTTCTTTGCCAACTACTCGCTCATCTTCCAGATCACATTTATTGCCCACCAAAATCATTGGGACATCTTCTGTGTCCTTAACCTGTGAAATCTGTTCCCTCAGGTCCTGTAAGTCATTAAACGTGGACTGAGCTGTGATAGAATATACTGTGCAAACGCTTGGCTATTTTTCATATACAAATCCCTCATCTCTGTAAATTGCTCTATTTCTGTGGTATCCAAGATTTCAAGCACACACTGTTGGCAATCTACTTCAACTTGCTTTCGTAGGAATCTTCTATCGTTGGGTCATATTTTTCAACAAAATTCCTGAAAAAATTGAACTGTTAGAGCAGACTTCCCCGTGCCTCCTGAACCAAGACCACTAGCTTGTACTCATGCCTGATGTGGTCTGTTTAAATACTGACAATCTATTCAATGCCATTGAAGGTGCAGCGAGACACACACTCTTATACACAGGGTGACCACCCTCTGATCCAGTTATCCCACTTCTGGGAGTGTATCCTCCCCCCAGACCCCCCCGCCCCAGCGGCTCCTGCTCTGCTCGGCAACGGGCCTGGCCTCAAGAGAGGCAGCCAGTAAAAAGAATTTTGAAAAAGAAAAATGACACAGGAGAAATCCATCTGCCTGATTTTAAGACTGATTTAAAGACTCTGGTATTTGTAGTTACAGACACATAGATCAATAGACACCAGGAGGCTGAAAGGAAAAATCTCTTTAATAAAGATAACTTAGTCATATGTTCTTCTACAGTCAATCTGAAATAGCTGTACTGATTGAAATACATAAAGAAAATGTGACCTCACTGAAGTATGTAGCTAGAAAGAGGAGAGGTATTACACTCTTAGGCTGGATTTCATCAAAATTAAAAACTGGTTTTCTGCAAAAGGTCCTCTCAAGAGAATGAAAAGACAAGTTACAGACTGGGAGAAAATATTCGCAAATCACATAACTGACAACAAGTAACGGGATCTGTATGAAGAACTTTCAAAATTCAACAGTAAGAAGCAATAAGTAACATACTTATGAAAAGTAGCTCTATTTTCTAGCACAGAAAAATAATGACAGAAAAGAAGCTGTTTTACAGTTTTAACAATCTTTCTTTTTTCTTTTCTTTTTTTTTTTTTTTTTTTTAGTTAGATGAGCTTTGGCCATTTGAGGTTTTTTTTTTGATTCCATATGAATTTTAGCAATAAATTTTTCTTTCTTTGAAGAATACCATTGAGATTTTTACTGGAATTGCATTGAATCTGTACATTGATTTTGGTAGGTTGGCCATTTTTATAATGTTAATTTTCCCAATCCATGATCAGGGAATGTCTTTCCATTTCTTTGTGTTTTCTATTTCTTTCATCAGTGTTTTGTAATTTTTGTTGTATAGGTCTTTCACCTTCCTTTGCTAGGTTTATTCACTCCTGGAGATTGTAAACCTGAAATGGCCATCAAGGTGTCAGCAGGTCTGCTTTTCTTCTAGAGGAGATCTATTCTTGCCTTTCTGGCTTCCAGAGGCCACCTGCACACCTTGGCATGTGGTCTCCTCCCAGCAACCACTTCCATCTCACCTTTGCTTCCATTATTACACCTTTGGCTCTCCTGCTTCTCTCTCTCACTTACAAAAACCTTTGTGGCTATTTCAAGTCTACATGGATACTCCAGAATAATGTCTCTACTCCCCTTAATCACAAAGTCCCCTTTTCCAGGTAAGGTTACAGATTCACAGTCTCCAGGGGTTCATAGTGGGGGCATTCTTCTGCCTACCATACAGGGCAAAATTTCATCTGAATGACTCATAGAAAATGCAAAATAGCTAAATTGGAAAATATTCTCTTTCTCCTTTTGTTGTCCCTCCATCTGGCCTGCTCTTTTTGGTGACTGGAATCAGTACCCTTGCTCTCCCAAGTATCTTTTACCTTTGCCCTCTCCCTCTCTCACATACAACCGATGGAAAACATCAATTATACCTACTTCCTCACATCTCTCTAACTGTATCCCCCGATCCTATTTTAGTTTTGGTCCCATCAGGTCTGGCCCATGTCATCTGTGTTTCTAGTTTTTGTCCTTCTAGCCCAACCAGAGCTTCTCCCACCAGAGCATTCTTTCTAACCCTTGAAACTGTTCATGTTACTTTCCTTATTCTCAACCTGCATAATGGCTCCTACTCACTGCAAAATGAAGCCCAAAGTCCTCATGAGACCTCTGTCCCTCACCCTATAGTTTCATGTGTCCCTGCTTGCTTTGCCACCTGTTCTCATTACCCCAGGCCTCTCCACCTCTCCACGCCTGTGTGTCACTGGACTTGGAAGTCACCCTCCACATCCTTCTGGGTTAATGTCTTTCCATTAGGAAGTTTTTTCCCTCATTCCCTCTGTGACTCCATGTATCTCAAACACATTCCTGCTGAGCCCTTTGTCTGTCTCCTGGATGGTAAACGAGGCTTTTCATCTTATTTATTTACTATCTTTATAGCTCACATGACTGTTGTCAAACACGTGCTCCATAGGGGATGACTGTACTTCACTGTCCCTGCCTTGTTTGCTAATATCCACCAGTAAAAACAATCTAAAAACCTATCCAGTCCTTTGTCCCTGTTGCTACATCATGTCCTCAAGACAACAGCAAAGATTATTAATTTCTGAAACTCCTCTTTCTGGGTCAAGGCTTTCCCATTTCGGACCTAGTTCTATCCTCCTTACTGCTCTGATTGCAGGTTTTAATTTTTGTGACTCTGTCATGGAGGCTCCATCGTGTATGTTCTGGTTTCGGTGGTGAGGAGAGCTGTTGAACGGGTCTCACCTGTCTCTGCTGTTCTTGAGCTTTTGAATCCCACCCCCCCTTCCCCCCGCTCAGCGTGGAGGAACAGCTTCTGGCGGGTGGGTGCACCGAGAGGGTCTCTTGGTCTCCGGTGTCCACGCGCCGCGGGGTCTGCTTTTCGGGGGTGTATGTGATGCGTCTCTCCTGCCGCCAGAGGGCGACCGAAACCAGCCTTTCAATTCATTTTCTCCCCGTCCCTCTCCGCAGGGTAACTCCGCGGAAACCCCACGTTTTCTCAGGGACTTTCCCCACGTAGCGTTCACATTTCCTTTCTTGCCTAAGTTATTCTATGTGGTTTCTAATAGAGTACGATGCTTTCGTGTCCCTGGAAGCAAAACTCACCCAGAATTTGTCCTACATTATGTTTCTGCCTTGTTGCTCTCGGGAAGCCTCCTTTCTAGTCAGCATTGCTCAGGGTGCCTGGTGGCCTCTGAGGGGTCGGGAAGGGGAGGGCGAGGTGTTTTGTGACTATGAGGGCTTGGGTGAGAACCCGCAACCATAATATCTCCCCTCGCTTTCATGCTCTGCTCACTTTCATGTTCATGAGGGACATTGATCTGTACTTTTCTTTTTTTGCTGTGTCTTTGTCTAGTTTTGGTCTCAGGGTGATGTTGGTCTCATAAAGTGTGTTTAAAAGTATTCCCTGTTTCTGAATTTTTTGAAAGAGTTTGAGAACGGGCAACCATCCCAGGCAGGGCAGGTTCATTGTTGATTTGGGCAAACAGGGAAGAATTTTGGAGCCCTCCGTAGATTTGACTGGCCTGTAATGCTGAAGCAGGGGAACAGCTATATGGGCAGACAAGCAGGCAGCAACTGAGCCTCCAGCCTTTGCCGTCTCCATATTTTCTCTCTGCTTCTCTTCTCTCTCAGTCTCTGGCTTCTCTGCCAGGGTGTCTGTGATCATAGGTGCCCATGCCCCATGCTCAGGCTCCCAGGCGCTTGTTGCAATAACAAAATGTGTCATGTGTGGGTAGTCAAACCGGGGAGGACAACAAAGTCGTAGGTGGTAGTTGTAGAGGCGAAAAAGAGCCTGAGCCGCTCCATCTTCCGTACAGTTCATCT